GAGGTGTGACTGTAGGGGAGGGACGGCAGGGACCTTCCTCCTCAGGTCTCTTTGTTCAACTTCCTGCACTCAATGGTGGACTTAGAATGAGGGATGAGGGAGGGCCTGGGAGGAGCAGCCACTTTTGGAGTCACTGTGCCTTGGCACTTAGGGGAGCTGCAGAAAGCACAAGTCCAGGCAGGCGTTGGTAGATTTCCCCCTGGGAGGGGACTCAGGGCTGGATTAATTGAACAAAAGGAGTAACTGGAGTGGCCAATGACAACACTGCCTTCTCCTGGCACCTGGCCTGTGCCAGGCTGCGGAGTTGCTCAAGGCACTTTTTGCTCAAGTACCTGCAAGCTCCTGTGCTCCTCTCCTTTGCGGGGGAGCAAAGGCAGCAACATGAGAGGCTTCATTGTCTCTGGGAAGCAGGGCTAGAGACCAGGCCCTGCTCTGTCACTATTTTGCTGTGTCCTTGGGCAAGTTCTTTCTGCTCTCTGGGTCTTGATTTCCTCATGGGTCAGATGACAGGACTGGATTAGATAATCTATAGGGTGTTTTCCAGCTTTAACATTTTAGAGTTTTGAAAATAGTCCTGAGTCAGACAGAGATGGGATCAAAGCCTGGCTTTATCCTACCAGCTGTGTAACTTCTCTGTGCCTTGTTTCTCTATCTTTAAAATGGAGTAAATAATAAATAGTGACTTCACAGGGTTACTGTAAGGTTTAAATAAGGTAACTGTTGCCAACACTTGGTGCTTACTATTACCAAACACTGTCCTAAGTGCTTTGCACAGATGAGCTTATTTAATCCTCCCAGCAAACCCAGGTTCCTATGGTGAGAATGTGACAGAGAGGATTTTGGACCCAAGTAGTCCAGCTCCAGAACCTGTTTCCTCGTCCACCATGCTAACCTGCTTTCAGTACAGGTAGGAGGCTATGTCCTCAATAAATGCTGGAGGGAGAGGGAGGCAGAATTCTATGACTGTTAAAATACTTCTGATGGAAATGCTAGTATGTTCCCCATTAAACAGATGGAGAAACCAAACTCAACAGGACGAACTGATGAGCTCTGGACCACCACTAAAATGGTGACAGAGCAAAACCCAGATACCCTGGCTCAGAGTTCCCCCAAGTATTTGGAACTGGAGTCGATCTCAAATTACACATGCAAATCTATTGGCAGATAAGCAGCCCCAACCCAGGCTGATCTCAGAAAGTATCGCTTGGCTGATTAATATCTGAATATCAGGGCCGCGTTTCTGGAAATGCCTTTGCCTTCCTCAGTGCATATTCTCTGAATTTCATCCAGGTACAATTCCTAGTTGTTAAGTGTTACTCTTAGTAAGAATTGGCTGTCTAGGGTGCTTTTAAAATCACTCTTGGCTGCTTCTAAGATTGAGCTCAAATATTTCTTGAGTGTCTACTGTGGGCAGAGCATGTGCTAGGCACTGGAAATATGCAGAGATGAAGGAACTACTTCCCGCCCTGCCCGCTGGGAGTTCTCAGTTGAATCAGGCAGATAGAAGACATTCCCTTGCTTAAGAATAATTGTTTAAAGATGGACAAAAATGATAAAACTCAGTGTTGGTGACTGTGCAGGGAAACAGTCACTCTTATTCCCTGCTGGTGGGAAAGGAACATGGTCCAAACTTTCTCGAGGGCAGTTCGATAACAGTTATCAAAAGTCATAAAACTGTGCCTACCCTTATAACCCTGCAATTCTACTTCTTGAAATTGGCCCCAAGGAAATAATTATGGCTGGGCACAAAGGTTTAGCCATAATTATGTTTGTGCAGCGTTACGATAATGAAATACTGGATACACCCTTGTACGTCAATGGGGGACTGGTAAATTAGGCATGGGTCTTCCACACGAAGGTCACCAGAGAATATTTAATGCTACAGAGGTTCACATTGTTACCCAGTGAGGAGAAAAGGCAGGATACAAAAATGCCATCAGATAGTGTGGCAGCATTTTTTCCGTAAGAATATGCCTTTTCCAAAAATTAGCTGGGTGTGATGGTGGATGCCTGTAATCCCAGCTACTTGGGAGGCTGAGACATGAGAATCGCTTGACCCCGGGAGGCGGAGGTTGCAGCGAGGCGAGATTGCACCACTGCACTCCAGCCTGGCGACGGAGCAAGACTCCATCTCAAAAAGATGAAAAAGAATATATGTTTTCTACAGTAAGAGCTAACATCTGTAGTCATTTTTAGGCATTATTTCAACCCTGTAACAGATACTCTTTTTAAAAAAATTGTTTAATAAACTCTTAACTATCATAGGTGCTCTTTAAATTATTTTTTGTGGGGAGGCCAAGGCAAGCGGATCACCTGAGGTCAGGAGTTCAAGACCAGCCTGGCCAACATGGTGAAACCCCGTCTCTACTACAAATATAAAAATTAGCCGGTGTGGTGGTCCGTGCCTGTAATCCAGCTACTCGGGAGGCTGAGGCAGGAGAATCGCTCGAACCCAGGAGGCAGAGGTTGCAGTGAGCTGAGATCATACCACTTCACTCCAGCCTAAGTGACAGAGTAAGACTCTGTCTCCAAAAAAAATAAATAGCCAGGCGCGGTGGCTCACACCTGTAATCCCAGCACTTCTGGAGGCTGAGGTGGGCCGATCACCTGAGGTCGGGAGTTTAAGACCAACCTGACCAACATGGTGAAATCCCATCTCTACTAAAATACAAAAATTAGCCGGGCGTAGTGGCGGGCGCTTGTAATCTCAGCTACTTGGGAGGCTGAGGCGGGAGAATCGCTTAAAACCAGGAGGCGGAGGTTGCAGTGAGCTGAGATCGCGCCACTGTACTCCAGCCTGGGCAACAAGAGTGAGACTCCGTCTCAAAAAAAAAAATAATCAATCAATCAATCAATCAATATTGTTTTTAGAGACAGGTCTCACTGTTGCCCAGGCTGGAGTGCAGCGGCTGTTTGGAGGTGTGACCATAGCGCACTACACCCTTCAAGTCCTAGGATCAAGTATTTCTCCTGCCTCAGTCTCTCAAGTAGCTGAGACCACCAGTGTGGACCCAGCCTCATAGGTGCTCTTTTTATCTCATTTTACAGTTGAGAAAGTTGAGGCTCTCCGAGTGTAAGAGACTAGCCCACATGTTATAGCTGGGATTGAAGTTTGGCTCTGAGAGCCTGTGCGGTTAACTCGGATGTAATTGCTTTCCTATAGGCAAAGAAAACCATACAGGAGAATAATGGTGGTTCTCTTGGGATGGCGAATTATGAATACTTAATTTTTTCTTCATTATAATTATCTGCATTTTCATTGATTTTTTTTCCTCTCAATAAGCATTGGTTGTTTTTGTAATTAGAAGAAAAAAAGTTATTTCAAATAACATTGGCCTGTTGAACTCAGAAATCACAAAAATGAAAAGCTTGAAATATAAGAGAGTTTATCCTTGGCAAGTCCTCCACCTGCCAGAGGGTTGTTTCAGATGGAGGACAGAAAACCCTAATGTCTGGTCTTCAGAACTCCAATGGAGGACCCTCATCCCCAGCCAGCCCTCAAGCCAAATCCCAAAGGGCGAGTTTCCAACCAGCAGGTTCCTGTCTTCCCATCAGCCCTGAATTCCATAGCCCAGTCTTCGCTAGCAATTCAAAGCTGGGCACCCAGAGCTCAGTGGCCCCATTCATCATGTGGGAAGCCTTCCCACCACCTCATTTCAGAGTGAGTTAGGCAGGAAAGCCCAAAGCAGGTGGCAAAGATTATTTAAAAACAAAGATTTTTTTTTTCTCCAAATTAGCTAGGGATCCCTAGAGTCACTACCCACCAGGAAATTAACCCCTTTTTGTACTCACAGGGCTGACTGGCTATTGTGATAGCTGTTCATTATGAAACTGTCCATCACAACTGCTGTTAGAGAACTACCTGCTGGGTTTCTACCACCTGAGGAAAGGAAGGCGTGGGGAGAAGGCCAAAATACCGTTGTGGGGGGTGTGGAGGTGTAAGGGAAGACACGGAGGAGGGATACAGGTGGTTGTAATCATAGTAAAAGCAGCAAAATGTTAATAAACTACAATGAATGTTTCCTGAGTACTTACACATGCTGGGGGGTTTATATGCATTATTTCATTGAATCTTCCCTTAAAACCCCATGAGGTAGGCACTGTTATTACACCAGTTTTGCAAGTGGGAGAGCGGTCAGGCTGAGTAAGGTTAAATAACTTGTTCAAGGTTATACAGCTGCTAAATGGAGCAGTTAGGATCATAAACTCAAGTCCTCCTCTTGCTAACCACCCACCTGGAGGCCTGGGGAGCTCCCAGAGAGCCTCTTCTCAGGGCGTGCTTCATATACACACTTTACACACATTTTCAATTTCAAGACTTGCTGTTTTCCAGTCTCTTGGCCAGAAAGATCTCACAAGGTTTTTTTGTTTTGTTTTGTTTTGTTTTTCCTAGATTTATGTGATGCCACTTTGGAGGTACTCAAGCTTGATGGCTTTGAGATCTGCCTGTCCTGGGTTTGTATCCTATTTCCAGCACTATACGTTGTTGTATTTCGGGCCTCAGTATTACCAATGTAAATTAGAGACTGAAAATTAAACATACATGTCCTTAATCACACAGTAACCATAAAGTTTGGAAACACACTTATTTTGCCTGTATTTTAATGTAATCGAGTTATACCATTCACATTTGTTATGCATATTTTCCTCTTTTCAGATACAGAGTAGCTCATGAGATAGATCTGAACTCATGGGAGATATATATATATATATTTTTTTATATTATAAAATTAAATATGTGTGTAAAGAACTTAGCATGCAGCCTGGCACATAATAGGTGCTTAATACATGAAAACTGCTGTTGTTTGTTGCTTTTGGGCCTTAACTCAATCTCACAAATGTTTGTTGAGTGTCTGTGTGAAGGCCCTAGAGGCAAGCTCTTATGTAGTGGGGAAGGCAAACAGACATACACGTAAATTATTCTCAAAGAAGGCAGTCTATGTTAAGCGAAGTGCTGCCAGTATAGACAAAGTGCACTGAGAGAATAAAGGACAAAGTAGTGAATTCTTGCCAGGGAGATCTGGGTGCTAAGATTTTTATTTTTAGATTAAATTGACAATACAGAGAAATGTAGATCTTCAGTGTACAATTCAATGAATTTTGGAAAATGTATTCACCCATGAAACTACCACTGGAATGAAGATCAAGAACACTGACATACCCTAAAAATCCCTTCTAATCAATCCTCACTCCCCAAAGGCAACCACAGTTCTGTTTTTTCCCCACAATAGTTTTGCCTGTTCTTAACCTTCATACAAATGGAATCATTCAGAATGTCCCCTTCTTGTGTCTGGCTTCTTTCATTTAACATGGGTGATAAGGTTTGAGCTGAGCCTGAAAGCACCACTAGGATTGAATAAGCAGCCATGGAGGCAGGGGAGAAAATATGAAGTATAGGGAATAGCTTGAGAAAGAAAAGGAGACAGATAAAAGTGAATTGGGGACTGGTGTGACTACAGAAAGGGGTACCCAGTGGGGAAGAGAAAGAAGGATGGAAAGCTAGGTTGGAGCTTTGTTTTGCAGAGTTTTCAATGCCAGGACAAAGGCATGTAGACTTTATCCTGAAGGCAACAGGGAGCCAGCCAGGGAACAGAAGAGTGGACTGATGAGATCTGGGTTTTGAGAAGATGTGTATGTGGCCACAACAGGTAGATACAATGAAGTTCAGAAAGTCTGGAGGCCTGGAGACCAGTTATTTGATTGTTTATTAGTTCATCCATTCATTCACGATGTCTGCCAACTTTGTGATCAATAGTCTGCTCATTCATTCATTCATTCATTCATTCACTCAAAAAGTATTTATCTGGTACTGAACTCTAGATTTTGGTTTCTGGCCATTACATCTCTGGCTTTATCCATTGACTAGGAAACAAGTAAGTTTGCTAAACCCTTTCTGCTGGTTCTTCCTTTTTTAAAAAATTGAGATGGGATCTTACTGTGTTGCCCAAGCTGGTCTTGAATTCCTGGGCTCAAGCAATCCTCCTTCCTTGGTCTACCAAAGTGCTAGGATTACAGGCGTGGGTCACTGCACCCAGCCTCTGCTGGTTGTATCAAATTCTCTCCCCACCCCAAAATTCTGGGAAATTCTTTTTTTTCTAGTAGTGGGCTCATCAAATCCTGCTAAGAAAATCTTCATTCCCATTGGGTATGTCTTTTCTAAAAACCCAATTGGGCAGGTATCACCTTAGATTATTTTATATGTGAGATAATAAGTAAATAGCCCAGAGAAACAGGAAGAGTTTAAATAAATGAAGGCAAGGTCAACTCTATGCCTTCTTGGAGGGCTGGGGACAGTGTTTCCCAAAGTGTGTTCCACAGTGGATCACTGGTTCTGCAGGTTGTTATAGGATTCAGTGGGGATGGAGGAAATGAAATCATGGCCATCTCAGTTTGGGAAATACTGGGTTGAAAAACAAACAAAGTAGGTTTCCTGACTGCAGGACTTTTCAGAGGCTTGATGACTATGCCTTGTTCATTTCTAAGAAGAGGCATGAATCTTTTCTGCCTGGAACATCTCAGGCATTCCTCAGAATGCATTTCTCAGAATGCATTTGTGAGAGAATGTATTTCAGAATGTATTTCAGAATGTAATGCAGAATGTATTTCTCAGAATGCATTTGTGAGATTCGCTGACATGACTTGAGAGAAATCAAAGCAGTTCAGATCCAGAAGAGTTATGGAGCAAAATGCCCGTAAGGCTGGGCCAGAGTAGGGAAAAGCCCGGAGCAGTGAAGAAGAGGGAGCTCCTTCCACAGGAAGGCACAGGAAAAGGAGAAGGAAGTGTGCTTGAGCCTTGCCTCGCAGTTGCATGGAAGCAGGAAGAGGAAAGAAACTTCCCAGCGGGAAAAGGAACTGGTGCAGGGCTGAACTGGGACCATGGAAAGACATCTGTATTGCAGAATTCCTATGGAGGAAACTTTATCTTCAAAGTGGCTGCAGCTGGAGCCTATATTTGCTGGGCAGGAGAAAAAGGAGGAAAAAGTACATGGCTACTGGCCATGGGATGTGACAAGGACAGGGAAGCAGTGTGCTCCTTCGTGATCCCCACCCCTAGAACTGGCCTCTTTCCCACAGGCAGAGAAGTGAAGAGCGCTGAGTTCTGTCTTCTCATTGTATGGCACACTCACCTCCCTCATTGTGCTTCGGTTCCCCCAACCATCAAAGGATGAAAAGGTAGGCCTTCCAGAAAAAGAGTCTGAACCTTCCAAAGGCGGCAGGCAGATCTGTGCCTCTTCATAGCTGGCAGAGCTTCACCAATAGGCTTCAGACAGGTTTGCACACAAAGTCACCGCGGTAGTTGAGGTTCTGAAGTAACAGGGGATCTGGGTGCAAATACCAGCTCCACCACTTACCTTGAGCCAGTCACTTTACCTCTCTGGGCTTTTCATGTTTCAGGTTTTTTCACCTGAAACACTTGGGCACCAGGACCTTAGTAAAAGGTACTTATGTTTGTTAGTAACATCACTAAACTCCTCTAAAGCCCATTGTCTCTGTAAAGGGAAATTTGTTACATTAAGATGGTTAAGAGACTTTGTACTATAAGGGGCAAAAACTGGTAGAACGAGTTGAAACTGATTGTGTTTTATTTTCTGTAAATCCCACCCGTGTCATCCCCCTCAGGGTTCAAGCAGGGCTTAAGAATAACTCGGTGGAGACTCTTGTGAGTAAGGGGGATGCTGAATGCCTCCTCCATTCCCAGCATTGGTCTCCTGCTGGGTGTGACTCAGACTGCGTAGTGGGCCAGGAAGCAGGGGGTGGGGGTGTCAGAGGTCACTAGGCCCCAAAAAAGATAATGTTCTATTTCCCAGGTGGGGCCTGTTTTACAACAGATGGGGACATCACCAGGCTCTAGGGACAACATCCCTCCCTCACCATAAACTAATCCATTCTGGTCAAGTGGAGGATAATTCTTGCCCAAGGCACCAAAAAGCAGAATCCCTCAGGTCTGATGTTTGGGGTCAGCTGGTTTTCTCAGGCCTGCTCCCTTTGTGATGCAGGCTTCGCTTTTTAGCCTTACACCTTCCCTGAGGCCTCCTTGGGGCTCCAGAAAGCTTTCTGCGGTCTTGCAAACAGTTAGTTCATTCACCCTATCTGCTCGAGAAGGTCCTGCCTAGAAACTGCAGGATGGGGTGACTTTTGAAGATGGTGTCAAGGCCCTGGGGTTTATGAAATGTTATCTTGGCTGATAAAGGCATCTGCTGTTATTTTTTCCTTTGTTTTCTTTTTTTGTCACCTTCAAAGTCACAGATCTCAGACGGTTAGAAAGAACCTGAGTGACCTTCAAACTCAAACCATTCATTTCGCAGTTGAAGAAACTGGCTCAGAGAAGGAAGATGACTTGTCTGAGGTCACACAGCCAGCAAGCAGCAGAGCTGGAACTCAAACCTTGATCTCTTGCCTCTCGGTCCTGTGCTGTCTCTCCTGCTGCATAATATTGATAATCACTATGGAGCATTTACTGTGTGCCAGGCAATAAATTAAGTGCTTTATATGCATTCAATCCTTAAAACCATCCTATGAAATAAATACTACTACTAATCCCATTTATAGATGAGGAAACAGACTCAGAGAAACAAGTTATGAAGCTTAGGGTCACGGCTAACAAAAAGCTGAGCCAGGTTTCAAACCAGATCAGTCTCAAAACCCGGAGCTTGTAATCACTAACACTAATCTAAGGCATAAGACTTCTCTTTGAGGGGCTTAACTTTCAACATCCCCAAACCACCTCACAGGTTTCAGGGAACCCATAAGGACTGGAGAGAGAAAGAGGGTGAAACAAAAGGCTCCCAAACGGGTCCCATTCTGATGGGGCTATCCCAAGTTGTCACTTTAGTCTAAGAGCAGCCAAATGGAACACTGTGACCCTACGCTGGGTAATCAGTCAATTCAGAGGCCCCTGGTAGTTTTGAAATATGGCCAAACAGGCAAAGCCATAGGTTAGAGAGTCAAGCCACTGTCACCTGCCTATCAAGACTCATCTTCTTAGAGGTTTCTCCAGCGCCCATCAGTGGGTAATACTGAGGATGTCTGCACATGACCCAGGAGGTGCACATGACTGAGCTCATTGTGAAAGGAGACAGGGCTGCAGGTGAAGTATGCATATTCATAGAGTATTGGCAAGGCATGAATCAGATTTCTAAGGAGACTGGGCAGAGAGCAGCAGTCATGCTCTCATCCTCTGAGGCAGGGGAACCTGATGACTAACCCCCATCATCAGGCACATTTGCCTTGGGCTGAGTGCCCCAGGTGGCAGAAGCAAAGAAAGAGACAAGGAACTGTTTCACTGGGGTGGCAAGAGATGCCCATCCCTAATGATAAAAGACAAGGGCTGATGCTTATCAGGTCTTAACTATACACCAGAGTGGTACTGAATGTTTTGCATGTGTTACCTTACTTGCAAAAACCTCACAAGTGTGAAATTATGCCTACTTTACAGATGAAGAAACTGAGGCTCAGAGAGCTCAAAGGACTTGCCCAAGGTCACACAAGTAGTAAAGGGTTGAGAGCCAGGATACAGACTCACGTAGACTGGCTCTAAAATCCAAGCTAGATGTGCTCCACCTTCTGTGTATGTGTGTGTGAGGGCAGGTAGTCGGCAGTAGAGACTTCTGCATCACCTGAAGGGTGAAATTAGAGAAGTCTAATGGACTCCTCCAACACAAGAGATTTTATGAAATTTGACAACAAAACAATGTTTCCAAACATCTAGTTGCAAGCCAAGGAAAAGTTTTCAAGTAGAAGGGTTTCATCAAGGTTCCCCCACTGGGCTTGTGTACAGGAATATACCTTATTCATGTATCTCCCCAGACTGTGGCATAGCTGCTTGAACTGAGCGCGTCCTCACCAAGTTACCTGAATGACTGCTGAAGCAACATAATGTAGCAGTTCGGCTTTGGAGCCAAACAGCCTGGGTTGAGATCCCAGCTTGGGTCCTCTGGCGCTGCATGACCTGATCAGGTTTCATAGCTTCTTTTAAGTCTCAGCTTCTGCATCTATAAAATAGAGGTGGGCACTCGTAAGGACTGAGTGAAACAGGACAGGTAAAGTATACAGACCCAGGCAGAGAGTTAAGTGCTCAAAAGACAAGAGCTGCTATTATAATTGGTGATGATTAAATAACTCTCCATACTCATTGAATGGATAAATGAATAATGCATGCGCCTAGCAATGTGACCGCATGTCCGAGCACTGGCTGAAAGGGTGAGCAGGGGCAAGTGAGGGGTGGGGAGATTGATGGTGACTTCTGAGCGGTTACCGTCCTGAGGGAAGAGCCAGAGGGGCCTGATCTTAACGTAAGATATGGTTCTTAGGCCCCTGCAGGCCACAGTTTCTAAGTCCTCCTCTTCTCCACTGCTGGACCATAGGGCCCCAAACTGATGGCCTTGAAAAATTCCCTAGCAGGCCAGCGGTGGATTCAGAAAACCCCTCATCTGAATGTTCAAGGCCCAAGGTTGAGCACTTAACCTCTGACCACATGGCCTCTGCCTTCCTAGGGGGGATACAGGGCCCAGAAAGGCCTCAGCAAAACTCTCCCTCTCCCTACCCTCTCCAGTGATATCAGATCTAAACAAACACCAATGGCAGCCTTTGAAGGAACACTCCTAAGAAACAGGACGGGTTAGGACCTTATGGATTAGTTGTGCCTATCTGAACCTCTCTAGGCAGAGCAGGTCCCTCCCTGCCCTGCCCCACCTCACCCCACCCCACCCTATCCTAGGAAGGCAGCACTGATCCTAGCCACCTACTCACTCCATTCAGCACTGGGGCACCAAGACCCTCTGTCCAAGCCAGACCTTGGCCAATTTTCCTCTGTAGCATTTCAAGGAAATCCTCATCTTAACCCTCCAGGCCCCAGTTTGACCCCTGCAGAGAGGAGGAAATACATTTTCAGTGTTGGTTGCCGTGGGGGTAGTGGGGAGAAATACGTTGTCTCCACGATGCTGTCTTTTATTTGGAAGTGGGCAGTGTCTTGTTTAATGGCCTCTTTTAAGACAGACCCAGCATAGTGGTTGGGTTGCTGGGGCCTGAGGCACAGGTGAGGGCTCACCTGCGGCCAAGGCAGCTGGGTTCTGTTCTTTCCAACAGGCCCTTTCCTTCCAGGACTGAGGCTGCATTCTCCCCGGCTCCCCTCTCCCTGGCTGCCTCCTGATCTGGCTAGTTCCTAGCAACAGAGGAAGAATCTCAAGACAGCACTCTGGCTGCTGCTGCTTTCTCTGCCTGAGCAGAGGATAAGCCTTCTCTGATTTGTTACTTTTAAATAAAGTTTCTTTTTCCTATTAACAGAAGAAATAATGTCCACAGAAACAAAAATAAAGCAAAAAATCACCACTGACCCCAATATCCATAACGCTCCCCGGGGTGAATTATTGTTTTCTCTATTCATATAAATGGATGTTTAAAAGAGGAATGGACTAATTTACTAAAAGTAGAGTAAACGGAAAACTTAAAAGTAGGGAATCAGACCCAGATTCAAGACTTAGCTCAGAAACTCCCTGAAAATAACCTTAGTAAGTTTCACTCCTGGGCCTCATTTTCCAAATAAAGATAATAGTACTTACATCATAAGGTGGTTGTGAGAATAATATGAGGTCAAACACTAAGCCCAGTGCCTGGAACATCATAAGGACACATAATTGCTAACAACTGTACTGAAAGCACAGTAAATAACTTCCATGGTACTCAGGAAGCCTCCATAGCATCCTTTTAAACTTTAGCGGGGCATGCAGCTACATTCAGGTATCTTAATTTACTTCACTGAATCTCCTCTGAAGGGTATTTTTATTAATTCTAATTTTTCAGGATTATAAACAATGCTCTGACGCATATCCTTGTAGGTAACTCTTTGCACACAAAGATTATTTGCTCAGACAAAATTCCTATGAGTGAAATTGCTAGATCAAAGGATGAGCTAAACTTGAAAGCCAAAGCTTGGACGGGCTCACTCTCCTTCCAGCAAGGAGCACGCTTGTTTTCCCTTGCCAGTACTGTGATTAGCATTTTCTTTCATCTTTATCAACTGGATAAATGAAAAAAAAAGAACTGCTTGTTTGCTTTCAGAGACTTTTATTTTAGGAAGAGCTTTCAGGGTGACGTTAGACTCCATGATTCCTCATGTCCAAGAAAGCTCCAGGAAGGAATGTAGGTGGTGTTATTGGAAGAACTGTGATAACAATCTAAAGTACAGAATATAAAAGGGCCTGAGAGCTGCCCTTTTCATGTCCTGCTGCTCTGCAGGCACAACTTCCAGGTCCATCTATGCCTTCAAAGAAGGGCCATATTCTCATGGCCTGGTGCGGTGGCTCATGACTGTAATTCCAGCACTTTGTGAGGCCGAGGCGGGCGGATCACCTGAGGTTGGAAGTTTGAGACCAGCCTGACCAACATGGAGAAACCCCGTCTCTACAAAAAATACAAAATTATTGGGCGTGGCGGCACATGCCTGTAATCCCAGCTACTAGGGAGGCTGAGGCAGGAGAATTGCTTGAACCTGGGAGGCAGAGGTTGTGGTGAGCCAAGATCACATCATTGTACTCCAGCCTGGACAACAAGAACGAAACTGCGTCTCAAAAAAAAAAAAAAAAAAAAAGGGTCATATTCTCTATGTAGGGTGTGTGACCTATCCCTCTGCTGAAGAACATTATAATGAAGCTTTTACTTTAAATGTTGAACGCTCAAATGAAATGCTACAGAATATTTTAATGAGCTTTGAGTGAGTGCCCAGGACAGCACTTCTGTGATCCCTTAGGACCCATAATTATATCTAGGTGATGCTTTGTCCGAGAAGGCAAGGGTCAATCCAAAGTTCTACATGTAACCAGGGGCACTCTCTCTGAACCTGTCTGTCTAACAAATGGGGCCAACCATGCACTCTTGTCCCCTCCTCCGGGGGCAGCTGTATGGATCAGAGGAGACGAAGCACAGGAGAACACTTTGAAAAGAGCTCTGCATCTAGCAGGGACTGTTTCTAAGGGAGGCTGAGGGCTGAATGCTGTGAAGTTAGCTGTGCACTGGGGCTGGAAATGGCAAGTGGCTGAGAGGCCTTTTTTCTCAGCTGGTTGCCCCCTATAACACCAGCTATCTTTTATTGGGTACCTATTTGCCATAGATTTTATGTCAATATCTCATTTAATTTAATCCCCAGGCTGACTCCACTGAAGTATGATGGGAAATTACTTACAAACATGAAGTCATGGGTGCATGATAATAAGAGGGAGTAGAGGAATTCAAACTTGGAGGTCTTCCCTTGGGTAGTGGTGGGGGGTGGGATAGAAGGCAATACTTAATTTGCCAAAAATGTCAGTAATGTGTGAGATTATATTCATTCATCTGTTTTTCATTTATTCAACAAACATTTATTGAACATCTATTATGTTGAGACACAGGACAAGTGCTATGTGAGATTTATTTTTCCTTGTATGGTTTCTGCCCTCCAGAAGCTTACAAATCCTATCTGCCTTGCAGATACTATCAACCAACCTATCTGCTTTTCTTCCCTCCCTCCCTCCCGTCTCCCTTCTATTTATCTATCCTAGACCTTGTTCCAGAAAGGGAGTAGGAAGCTTGAAAGGACTATTTCCACAACTTTGGGATCAGGCCAACTTTGGTTTGATTTCATCTCTGTCACTAAGGGGAAAGCCAGGTGACCTTAGATGTTATATCACCGCTTTGGGACTGTTAACGTCTTCTGTAAAACAGGGATACTTATGGCGGCTACTTCCAGGCCTCTTGAATTACATGATATATATGTCAAGCACTAGAATAGTGCCTGACACATACTGTGGACACGGTTATCTAATCCTCACAGCAATCATTTCACTGAGGACAAACTGAGGTAGAAGGAAGCGAAGTTGCTTGTCCAAGGCCTCAGGCAGTCACCCTCAGAGCTGACGTTCTTTAGTAACTTGGCCAACCATGTGACCCCATTTTACAGGTAGGAATGGGATAGAGCATCTACAGCTAGCATTACGATGTTAAGTGCTCAATAAATGATAGTAATTTTAATTGGAAAATCAAAATGAGATCAGATAGCTAAGCTCACTGCTGAGAGCCTGCAAGCCAGACAGCCTCCCATCTCCATTCCTGTGCCTCCTGGGGATCTCTGGGCAAGGACTCAGTCTTCACTCTCTTCATCCTTGCCCTTGCCCCAGGAAGGATGGGGACACAATGGTCATTTGTCAATGGGAAATTATTTTGGTTTAATGACATTTAAACTGAGGCTTTGTATAGAATTTCTAATTACAAAAGCAATGCAAGTTCAATGTAGCCCATTTGGGGGAAGACAGGGAAAATACTGAAATCCTAGTATTTCAGTGCCCACAGAGAAGCACTGTTGACATATGGGTATATGTTCTTTCAATACTTGAATATAGGTCAACAGATTTGCATTAAGAGTTCTGGATAATTAGAAAGCATTCAAGTGTTAGAAAAGGATGGCTGTCAGCAGGGTCCTCGTGTTCAGCAGCGCGTGTCCCGTCTGGTAAACGGTGCCGTCGTCGTTCAGTACACCACTTTCACAGACACACAGAGGAGCCCTGGCTCTCAGGGCTCACTTACAGTGGCCCTAACTTTTACTGTTCCCCAGCATGCCACGGAGAAGTGTCATACTCTTTGGGAACAGCGGCTTCTGGACAGGCATGATCATGGAAATGAGGGGAGGGATGAAGGACTGTGCAATCCTCCAAGAGGGCAGATCATAACGTCTGGAGAAAGAACATCAGTAATCTAGAAAAGCAAATCAAGATGATTTTCATAGGGAACTCTACCCTTATAGTGATTCACTAATCTGGTCTTACAGAGAGGGAAATTGAGGCTCTGAGAGGAGATAATTTACTCAGTCACACAGTAAGTGGCCAGAGGCCAGGCAGAACTTGAGCCCAGGGCACTCCCTAACTTAGTCCAGTCCTGCAAGAATGGAATCAGAAAGATGTGGGTTCAAATCTCAATTCTTTAACTTACTAGCTTTTGTTGTTGTTGTTTTTTTCTTTTAAAGAAGCTCACTGTTTGCCCAGGCTGAGTGCAGTGGCACAATTTTGGTTCACTGCAACCTCCATCTCTCAGGTTCAAGCAATCCTCCTGCCTCAGCCTCCCAAGTAGCTGGGGTTACAGGTATATACCACCATGCCCGGCTAATTTGTTTTCTTGGTAGAGACAGGGTTTCACCATGTTGGCTGGGCTGGTCTCAAACTCCTGATCTCAAGTGATCTGCCTGCCTCCTAAAGTGCTGGGATTACTGGCATGAGCCACCGCACCCAGCTAACTTTTGACTTCCAACAAATCATTTAACCTCTGAGTCTCAGTTTCTTCACTTGTGAAATAAGGTTAATACCGTCCTCATTAGATTTAAATGAGAATTAAATAAGAAAAAGAAAAAGGCTTTTCTAACAAGTATTGAGTGCTAGATGCCAGGTACAGATAATGTGCTTTATCTCATTATCTCATTTACTCCTCACAATAACCGCATAAGGGGGTAATACAGTTTTTATATACACTTTACAGGTGAGGAAACTGAGGCTCAAAGAGCTATAGCCACTTGCCTGACATCATGTAGCTAGTAGGTGGTTGGGCTGAGATTTGAAAGGCGGCCTGTGAGTCTCAGAACAATACTATCTTATCACATAGGTAAGTCTTAGCACAGTGCTCGCAAAATACAAACGCTAACTAAACAGCAGCCCTCATTATTTACTGTCGTTATTGTGGATATAATTATTATGTTACATGTAATTGGCTGGTCTCTGTTTATGTTTTTTTAAACTTTTTTTTTGTTGTTTTGTTTTTGGAATAGCTGTTCTGTTTTAAAGCTCCTCTGCAGAGGAACCAAGAGCTGTGCTGATCCATGAAGGGGAAGTAGGTGCCAGCCTTGCTTAGCCCCACGGGAGCAGGAAGGGGGCAGCAGCAAAGCATGGGGGGCATCTCTTTAAAGGCCTGGCATTTCTGGGTTGTTGGGATGAAGGAACAGCACTTGTACCTCCTGCCCAGGAGGTTAACTCCTATTGAGGGGTCTGGTGACCTTACAAACTGGCTCATGACATCCCTGCCTACCTAGCCCAGACCACCAGTCCTTCTATCCCATCCAGGATACTTCTGTGGCCTTCCTGTGTGTGGAGACATAGAAGCCCTCTGCCCTGTGATTTGGGTCTCTGCTGATCTCTGAAGATGGGCACAGGTGATGAAAGAGGCAAGACCTAGAGGCAGAGGGAGAGGACCCATTTTTAAAAGCCTAGCGAGCACAGACACGCCACCTGGAATCCCAGCCTCCCCTGAGCCCAGCCAGCATGAGTCACCCACAGCCCTTCACCTGTGGGTTGCAACACGGCTGACAGAAACTCCACAGCCTTCCAAGAGGTGGGCAGACAGGTACATACAGAGGAGTGTGCCATCCTTTGGACTGCAATAAGTTTTGCAGTTACAGTTGGCACCCAATAGCCCTTCGGCCACCAATAACCTCTGTGAAGCGGTTGGGTACCCAGGCTCTGCTCTTGGATTAAATCCCAGCTCTAGCTCTACCACTGCCTAGCTCTGCAGCTTGAGTAGTTTACTTCAGTATTCTGTACTGCAGTTTCCTCATCTATAAAATGGAGATATCAAAAGTGTCTTTCTCCCAGGGTTGCTATAAGGATTAGGTGAGACAATGCATGCAAAGGCTTGGCACAATGCCTGGTGCCTGTGGTATATGAAGCACCTACTAGGTGCTAGACACTGGAGATTCCACAGTGAGCAAAACAAAGTCTTTGCTCTTATGGAGTTTACATTCCAGAGGAAGGGAAGAAAGACAATAAACAATTAGAAAAATATCATAGGTCATATTACATTATATCATAAGTCATAAGGGCTCTGCAGAGAACAAACAGCAGTGTGATCCAGAGTGACTGAATGTCTACTTTATTAACAAGGGTGACTGAAGAGAGCTGTTCTGGGGAGGTGGTTTTATTAGCAATTATTTACTATTATTTATTAGGGTCCCCTGGGCTTCCCCCAACACAGCTTCCAGGGAGAAACCAACCTCCGAGAGTTCTCAAACCCAGTACCCCCTCTCCAGAGCCCTGACCCCACCCCAAGAGGGCTCCTTTGAATTCCCACTTTACCCTGAAAAACCTCCATAAATTGGCAGGAGTAGCTGAAACCTCATTTGCCGTTCCCAGAGAAGAGAGAGAGAGGAGTGGGCCAAGTTGAGGTTCCCAGGAAGATAGAGCAAAGAGATAATTTGCCAAAAGGGGAAGGGTGGGGGAGGGGAGAATTGAAAGAGAGAGGGAAACAAAGATGCCAAGATCTCTGGCTTAGATTTAATTTCAAACTAATCCTGGAAGAAGCTCTTTAAAAAGCTCTAACATTCTCCTGTTTGTGTTTGTGGATATTCTGGGGTTTACCAAGCTTGTTCTTCATAGAAGACAGCTCACAGCAATTACTCCACAATTACTTCATCTATCAGGCATTGAATTTCTCCCAAGTTCCCCATACAGAACGAAGCACTTGGCGCCTGTGAAATGACCAGCTGGCTGAGGCTTCGGAGGCCCCTTCAACTTTTCTATCCCTTCTGTGCTAAGCAGAGGTATGTGGCTTGCCCACACCCCCTTCACACCCAATAAAAGCCTGGTCTCCTTTACTCCCCCACCCCCTGCCACCAACACACATCCCACCCAGATAAACTCTTAACTCTTGTAAACTCCTCTAGAACAGTAACCCTGTTTTTCCGGCCTCAGTTTCTCCAGAACCCAGAGTAGGGTCTGGCACACAACAGGTGCTCAATGGATGTCTGCTGAATTGAGGCCACTGACTTCAGCCCAAGGGGCAGCCAGACTTGGAGTGAGATGACCGCAGATTGGATCTGGGCTGGGACCTCGCTAGCTGTGCCCTTGGGCAAGGCGCTTTGCCTCTCTGGCCTCCGTTTCCTCCCTCATCTGTAAAATGTGTGTTGAAGAGGAAGGGGGAAGCGATAATAAATCTATCACAGTGGGTTACTCTAAGAACCAAAAGAAGTCACTTGAGTAACTGTAAAAGATTATTCATAAGTATTATCTTAAAGGGGAAACCGAAAAAAAGGGAACTTATACAAAGATCTACCCGGGAAAAGTTTCTCTCTCCTTCGAGAATTCCCCAGTGGTACAGAAGGAGGGGGCAAAGAAATGTGCGGGTTGGGATGTTTCTGGGTATCTGGGACCACTAGAAACAGGAATCAAGTTTCCCTTTAAGCCAGGTTATCTGTTTGTCCCTGTACTTTTCCTCTAGTTATCTTGCTTCTTTCCAACATTTTTTTCTCCATCCCTCCTCCCTCATCTCCACCCCCCACCCCCTCACCAAGGAAGGAATTGGCCAGCTCCACCCAGCCAGTCCCCCATAGCTCCGCCCTCCTCGGCGGGCTAAGAGTTAACAGCTGCACCTGTTGAGGTATACCTCCAGTCGCGGGCACCTGTACCTGTAGCCAATCAGCGCCAGCGCTGCTGGGAACCTACCTGTCAGCAAAATCTCGACACCCAAACCTCAACATAAATCAAACACTTCCCTGGGCAGAGAATGTCTGTGTCAGGCAAGAATTAGAGACAAGCGGTCAGCAGAACCTCAGTGCTGATCGTCGGAGCCTGGGAGCAGGAAGATGTCGAATGAACTTGAGTGAGTAAACATCGGTGGATACCTGCCGCTCTCGGGGCGTGGAGGCTGGATGGGGTTTCCTGGAGGGGGAAGAGCGGGGAGGCCGGCACCGGGATTCACAGAGCAATTTGTAAGGGTAAATGAATGGGCTGACGATCTTTCTTTGGCGTGTCAAGGCAAGCCCCAGTCTCATGCTAGAGGTGAGTGTTTCCCTGGGAAAATAGTTTTTCTCATTCTCTTTGCTGAGCAGTTTCGAGCCAGGCAGGGAAACACAAGACTGAAACTGTGAAGGTTTCTGGCACCACTTTTTGATCCTCTGAAGGGGCCTTGGAAATCAGACAATCCCAGTCCCATCGAGGCTTTCTATCTTCTTGCCAAAAGGAACTTCTTTGAGGTAGTTCTAAGAGCTGTCTTAGGCAGAGTTGAGTTTCTCTAAAGGGACTTGTTTAGTGGGCTGGAACAGTCCCAAGTGGGAAGGTTACAGTGTGGTGGTTAAGCATGTGTACTCTCTGTAGTGGGCTTGACCTAAGTTCAAATCCAGGCTCTGTCCCTGGGTGATCTCAATTTTTCTGGGCTTCATTTTCCTCATCTGGAAAACAGGTACAAGAATGCTTTGTAGAATTCTTGAAAGAGTTAAGTGTGATAAATGCTGTAAAATGCTTAGCGTAAAGCTATGGTCTAAAGATGCATTCAGTAAAATGTGGTTCATCTTATTCAGAGGCAGTTCTAAGGCTGAGGAAGCTGAGAAGGGATTTTTGGTAGGTCACCTCTGTTGGCTGGCAGGATGCATGTGCTTTCCTGCCCACATCTGAGATTTAAGATCCTGACTGACTGATGCTCATCTTCACCATGGTGTCCTTCTTGGGGTCCAGACCTTAGAGAAGGTGGGATGAGGCTGGGATCTAGACTGCTTTAGATTGGGTTCAGGTTGCTGGCAGGAGAAGCCGGAACCCTTTAAACATAGGCTCTCCTTTTCCTGCCACCCTCAGAGGTGAGTGGGCAGAGGCAAGGATTGTACCATCTTTTTCCTAACTGCTCCTCAACAGACTGTTTTAAGAACTTGAAGATCTGTGGGCAGAGCAGTGCCAGGTTCTGATTGCAGACAGGATTCTATGTTCTAGCTAGCCCTTCAGCTCTTTATGTTCACAGCACAATCACTTGGTTGAACAGGCACATTTCTTTTGAATGAATTTCCCGGGGTTGACAATGTATTGACAATTGGACCACAATGAGAATAAGAGCAGGAGCATTGGTGCTGACACGTGGGTTCAAGTCCCAGCTCCAGCACTTACAGCTGTGTGATGTTGAGCAAGTCACTTATTCCTCATCTGTAAATTGTGGCCAACAGTAGTATCCACCTCATGGGGTTGTTAGGGGATTTGACAACTTTAGAATAGTGATTGCTTTTAAGGCTGGTGGAGAACATGCTAGTAACACCATTGTTCCTTCATGTAGAAATAACCAATCAATGAGCATTCCCGAACCTCTTATTTTTCCATACTTTGAACACACAAAAAAATCTTTGAGATGTGTCTCCATTCCACTTAAATTTGCTGGCTAAAACTGCGGAGGCTACAGACAGAATCTATTTATTGCTGTACGTTAGGGGGTATGTGTTCTGAAGCTGGGTTACTTGAACAGAAAGGTTTCCTGCTTTTCTCCTCCCTAATGGTTTGGATTTGAAGTCAGATCCGCTGACAGTTGAGGCTTCTCAGTTTGGGGTGGGGTGAGGGAAAGCCAGTTGCCTGCTGAGTAATTGCAGGCGGACTCCAAGCCACCATTTGAGATTACAATGGCAGAGCCTGGGGGCTCGGCTGCCCCTACTGATAAGGGGAGGACACCCGGTGCTTGGCTTACAAGTTCTGAGCTGCTGTTGCTGCTGCGGCCTCGGCATTCTCCTAAAAAGTGCCAAAGAGGACTGGCCATAGCTTACAGCTTGGGCCCTCACGGAATGGCCAACTCTGGCCAGGCCTTGATATAGTGGAAAAAGTGAGACTTGCCTGTCACTCTAAATTCTGCCACTTACCAACAGCAGGATCCTGGTGAATTTGTTTGTCCTCCCTGACTCTCAGTCTGCTCATTTGTCTGTAACACCTACCTGGCAGGAACAACTGTGAGCTCCCCAATGTGGACCGGGAGCGCCATCCGCGCCCGCCCGGTGGGCAGGCCCCAGGTGTAAGGCGGCAATTCGAAGGCTGGCCCCTGAGAAGCATGGAGGCCCCGGCAGTGTAGTTAGAAACCAGCTGGCGGTGGCTGGCGGGTGCTGAGCGCCGGGCCTTTCATGTGGTCGCAGCGCTCTGGGTGCCTGGAGCCCGCAGCCCTGGGCAGCCCCGGGCTACAGCAGGGCGCAAAGGATCCTGGGCTGCGGCCGTGGGCGCCGGAAGTCGCCGCCGACCGCCCGGGTATCGCGGGAAAACAGCTAGAGCCCGCGAGGTGGCTGCCGTCGGGTTTTCCTGAAGGTGCGTCGGGGCCCCGGGGAACTGGAGCCGCTGGCGACCTCGCTGGTGACCTCCTGTTCCCCGCTGGAGCGCCTGCCATCCCCCGGCCCTCCAGGCAGGCCCCGTTGACAGCCCAGTAGAGTTTCGCCGCAAAAGGGCTTGGCACACAGTAGGTCTAAGGCACCGAGGCAGGAGCGTCCCCCGCAGCCTCGCTCCGTGCTCTCTGGGCCCCACCACCGCCGCCGCCTGGAGTCTCCCCCCAGCCTCGCAGAGGCGCGACTCGGTTGGGGGATGGGGCCGAGAAGCGTCGCAGTCCTGACCGCGGCCGCCGCCGCCGGTCTATCTGATCTCCAGGAGCGCCGGCTCCAGACTGCCTGGAGCGCTGAAAGAGTTAACCAGGAACGCCTCCCCGCTGTGGTTTTGTGGTCGAAACCATGATTGCCAGGAGCAAATTTTTGTCGTGCACGAGGTGTGTTATTAAAAGTCGGGGCTACGCTGCTGCTGAATGAAAAGTTAAAAGCCCTCTTTGAGTTCGGGCTATAAAACTGGCGGACTGGGCCGAGAGGCTTGAGCCAACCCTAACGGCGGCGGCCCGGGCTGCGCGGGGGTCCTGCGGCTCCACCAGCTGCTGGGAGCAGACAGGCGCCCGGACCCAGGCCAGGGGCAGGCCGCGCAGTCCCAGCAGTGAGTGGCCGCAGCCAGGCGGTCGGCAGAGCTCCCACTGAACCACCGGAGGAGTGAAGAGGGGCAACAGGGCTGAAACCCAAATGGGATCATCCAGCTTTCTCTTATGTTAGAACAAAAATGACAGCCAACATTTATGCAGCGCTGACTCCGCATCTGACATTGTGTCGAGTCCTTGATAAATACACGCTCTTCTTTAACCCTCCCAACGAACTAATGAGGGATGGGAGTGTAAATGCAGTTTTGCCGAAGAGGGGACCCAGACTTGGTTCAGGCTTGCCCAAGGTTTCACGGAAGCACTGGGATTATAACCGTGTTTTAGCGGAGCAGCCATAAGCCACCCTGCTTCCTCTGTGCTTAGACTCTGAAAAGAAGGCAGAGAAATACGCCAAACTGTTAAGAGTGGTTATTTCTGAGCAGAAGAATGTGGATGAATTCCATTCTTCCTATTTTTCTGTAGGTTCCACATTTTATGTATTTGTTGTATTTTACAAACCTATGTTACCTTTGGAATCGTTAGGGGGAAGAGGGAATCGTTATTTTGAAAGAGAACACCTAGAACAGTGTTCTCAAACTGTGACCCGTGGGCCAGCATCATCATCGTCATCATCACCTGGGAACTAGTTAAAAATGCAAATTCTCAGCCCCACCCTAGACCTACTGAATCAGAAACTGGGGGTACGGCTCAGCGTTATGTGTTTTCACAGGCCCTCCAGGTAATCTTGATGCGTGTCCAAGTTGTAAAACTGTTGGCCTGGAAGACCAGGCAGAGGACTGGGAAGCAGGAGGTTCCCAAATCCACTACTGACCTGCAGTGTTGTTGCTGAGTCAGCAGGCTGAGAGCTTAGTTCCAAGATCACACCTGTGTTTAAAGCCCAGGTCTGCCACCTATAGATTGGGTGGCTTGGATGAGCTCCTTAACCTGTCAGTTTTTGCGCATATAAGACGATGATAAAAATAGCCACCTCACAAGGCATGTATGAGAATAAAAAGGCACAAGGCCTGACTCTTAAATGATTGCATTCCTTTCCCTCTCTTGCCTTCCCTCCTCTCTCTGGAACTCACCGTTCCCATCTAAAATGCAGCAAATAATCCTGGCTGGCTGCCTCCCTCTCTCTATTCCTTTTGCCTCCTAAAAAGGTTAGAACAACTGACCTAGTGAAAGTCTTGAAGGGAAACTATCTCACCGTTATTTGGTGCTATTTTGCTAGGCTTTTCCAGAAGGTCAGCAAGAATTGGGAACTTTCAGGGCAGGGACTGAAAGGGGACAGAACAGTGTAGCCACATGAATGGCAGTGGCCTTCACCTTTTTGTCCTCAGCACCCAGTACGTGGTCATTTACAGAGTAATCCTCAGTAAATGTTTGTGAGTGAATAAGTGAAGGGATGTGGCACCCCGGGGTTTAGAGGTGGATTTCAACTTCTTTCACACCTCAATTGAACAACAGATGGGGGCGGGGGGCGCGGTAAGGAAAATTAGATAAGACACCAAGAGGAGAATATAGCACGAAGGAAAAATTCCCATACAGAGAAGAATTTTTAAAAGCGAAGAAAGAGAGTTTCTGCTATAATTAGGAAAGGGCACCTAGATAATTTACATGCAACTAAAAGTGTCCGCTGGAGCCTGACCACCGTCAGCTTGCCCGCCTGGCTCCTGACGATGAAGCTGGTAGTGCGTGTTCCTCTTAAATGGAAATCTGCAAGCATCAGGTCTGATTCTGTCAGCTAGGAAGAGGTATCCCAATTCATAGGCCGGAGAAAGGCTGTGAGTTGTGCAATTTGCTGGGGACTGCCCTACAACGTATTAGTAATAATAATAAAAATAGTTCACATTATTAGGTGCTGGCACTATGCTGATTGCTTTACCTGCATTATCTCATTGCATCTTCCAACAGTAATACTTCACAAAGTTGTAAAAAAATAAGACAATGATTAGAAGTTGTTGTCAGCCAGCACCTGGTACTTGGTAATCCCTCAGTGAACGGTAGCTCTCATAATAATTCTGTGAGGTTCGCATTCTCATTGCCTCACATTTTACAGGTAAGAAAACAGGCACAGAGATGTCAGGTTGCTTGCTTGAAGTCACACAGTAAGTAGCAGAGCTGGACCTGGAACCCAGGTCTGTGAAACTCTGGGCCCACTCACATAACGATGAGTTCATACTGCCTCATTCAAACTGGAGTCATTACAGAGCCATGCCCTACACTCTGCCATTTCCCCATTGAGGCCCCCAAAGAGCCCCCAGCCCATGTGACAAGGCACATTTCACAATCTGTACACCCAGAAAACCAGATGGGCCACTGGCAGGCACGAGAACCCTGGGACACCCCTGTCGTGCCCAGGGAACATCGTGTGTGGGGCTGACTGAAAATGATTCCTCTGTGAGCAGTTGTGTCAGGGCCTCCCTGTGGGTGATTAGAGAGTGATTGATCACCGTTAATGAGGTTGGGTGGCTCATGGGAGGATTTAGCAAGTCATTGACTGGGAGTATCTGGGTGTCAACACCCAGCTCAGGCGGCCCCTGGGACTTTTCCTCCTCTGGCTGAAGGGAGGTGGGGTCTAGCCCGCTGGATCTGCCCTGTGCCACACACCTCCTTTGGTGTTGGGTTTTCTTCCCACCTTCTGGAAAATGGAGTACTTTCTTTTCCGTAGTTTAACTACTGAGTCCCATCCTGCTGTATGCTTCATGTCCTTAGGCAGGTCCCTCTCTGGAACTAGATCTCTGAGGTCTCTCTGCACCCTCAATCGCTAGGATTCTCACAGAAGGAAATGATACCAAAAGTTCTCAACTAATGGCTGAGACGGCATTTCCTTGGTCTTATTGGGGGTTTTAAGTAGCTCAGCCAGAAAGCAGTGGGCATTTTGAGTCAGAAGAGACTTGTTGGGATGAAACCCACGTTACCACTCTAGACTTTCACGGTCCTGGTGCCCAGAATGAGGCATGTTGGAGCCATGAAGGCTGAGGCTGACTGGACATGGAGCAGCTGGCACCACACCCCTGCTGTGCTGAGAGCCAGTGAACTGGGGAAAGGTCCTATCCCCCCCTCCCAGAGCAGGGGCCCTGGCAATTTGCACTTCCACAGACTGGACGGGAGGCCTCAGGAAGTGAGGCCTATCAGGTAGACCCCTGAGCTCCTCTCTCTTGATCTTGTTGCCAACTCTCTCCTAAATGGAGAAGAAGCCAGACGGGAGACTCTGAGGAGGCGGCTCTGTGAAGGTTCTGGATGCTGGGAGCCAGAGACCTCAGTTCTACGCCTGATGCCTTGAGGTACCAGCTGGGTGGCCTTAGGCAAGCCAGTGGCCCTCTCGATGGCTCAGTTTTTCCTCAAACGAGGACAGTCATACCTTCCCTCCCTCCCTGACAAGGGCGTTGCAGGATCAGAGGTGATGACAGATGTGTGAGCACGTTGAAAAATATAACACTATGCAAATGTGAGGGATTATCAAATCTTGGATTTCCTCCTTAGTGGGCTGGCTTTCCTTAAAACAAGGTGGCATATGCAAAGCACCTGGCTCACACCTGGCACACAGTAGGCGGACAAGCTCTGGGAGCTGTCCCAGGCTGATGCCTTTGATCTTGCCTTTCCTTTCATCTGGAAGGTCCAAGGTCCTCCCAACTCATCTCCATTCTCCCTCTTCCCCTCCAGCCTTCTTCTCAACCAACATCTGTCACTCCCTTGGGTTGAGGCAGGTCAGAAGTCCTCTTGTTTCTTTTTCTTCATAGCTTTCCTCACCTATCTAATGTTAACTGCTTGTTTTTGTGGTCATGTATGTCTTGCTGCCACTAAAATGCAACCTCCATGTCAGCAGGGATGACCTCCTTATCTTTTTCTCCCAGGACAGGTTCTGGCACATAGTAGTTACTTGATAAATATTTGTTGAAAATGAGGGATGGATGGTTACATGGATGGATGCCACCCAGGTTTATTGCTTTTTAAATCTCTCCTACATCCCTTCGTGGAAAGTAGTGGTTTTTTCCTTCTTGGAAAAGTGCTAGCCATGGAGTTCCCAGGCCAGACCCTAGGAGTCCTGGCTTCAGTCACCTAGACCCCTGCAACAGATCACCTCACATCTCTGTTGTATATTTCCTGGTCTGTAAAGTAGGGATAATAACACATCACATATGTCGGGAGGCTCTGTGAGATAATGGAAGTTGGGCAAGGTGTTATTACACTATCTCTTTTCTTTTGAACAGAACCCCATTCACAGGCAGGAGGCTTGTGGGGGGATGATAAGAACCTCAGGCAGAGTCTCCCCTTTACTCCCATTTGGAGGTTCTGGGATGATGATGGTGATGATGGCTATTATTAACTGAGCAATTATTCTCTGGCAGGCTCTAGGCTAAACACATTTCTTACCTTAATGTACTTCATTTTCCTAACAACCCATGAGACAAACCTTACTCTAAACTAGCCACCCCTAATTACTCTCCATTATCTTACTATGTTAATTTTCTTCACAGCACTTATTACTAACTAAAAATAACTAATTTACCTACTTGTTTATGGTCTGTCTTCCCCAATTAGATTGTAAGTTCTAAGGAAACAGAGACTTATCTGTCTCATTTTAGTTGATTCCCAGTGCCCAGAAGAGTCCCTGACTGGCACACTGGCGCACAGAAGACACTCAGTAGACCCATTTAACAGATGAGGAAATAGAAGGGCTAAGTGCCTTACCCAAGGACATGTAGTTAACACACCCATACACTGTGACCCTGGTGCTGCCTCCTTCTATGGTGCTGCAGGTTCTGGTGTGCTGTATCTGGTAGAGATCTGATGGCAGGCTGTCCATGGCAGGTCTTCCCTCCTCCCTCATTTCCTTTTCACTTTCTGATAGTTTAGTTCAGACTTGGACAGGGACACCAACAGAAAATCTGTGGAGGCCCCGGGGAAGCTGACCTCATAGGTTGGGAGTCCCCTGGTTTCCCTCTTTCTTCTGGCCCTATCACCCATGAGTAGGACTCACTGCTTCTTAGAACTCTTTTCACATTGATCCAGTATCAGCTCCTGGGACAACTTTTTTTTTTTTTTTCCCCCTCTCTCTCACCTCCTGGCTCCTCAATACTTATTTGTAATCTTTAAGAGAGCAGAGAGCCAAAAGTCCTTGGATTTTAGGATTCCACACACAAGTCAATACTAACCTTATCCATTAAGACTTTCTAGAAGCCAAATGCTTAGTTCTAGAACATGAGGTTATTGGTGGCAGGAGCAGGTATGGGAACCAGGGCACTGGGACTCCCAGCCCCTGACCAGAAACTCTTACAGTCATCATCTTGCCACCTTCCTCCTGCCTTGTGTGGGTGGGAAATTCCTTTCTGCCTTGCAGCAGAGAATTAGTTCAATGTGTTTTGAGAAGGGAAATTTCCAGAATAGGAAA